AAGGAAAATGTTAATCACACCCCCACACTTAAGAACAGAAAAACAGCTTAACCATGGTTTCATCCATAGTTCGGGGGTCAGAAACTCGATAAATCAAGCATAATCTAAGTGGGGGTGCACATCCATGAACAAGTAGGCAACTCAAGGTTCACATTCATACCAAATACACCCTCAAAGCACATCATTAAGGGCCCCAACCGACCCCCACAAAATGGTACGAAAACAGGCATTTCATCGAACACCTTGTGTGCACTATTAAGGTAAGCATGAAATTGGCACAATTCTTGCACACAAGGGCTCAAACAATCAAGAGGGACTTTGCCCAACACAATTCAAACACAATCCATGCATTCCCCTCAATCAATTGCACAAAAATCACAAGATTCAATGAGGTTCTCTAAACATGCACCCTAACACCCAATTCTCCACAATTAACATAGTTAAGGGCAAAATCAAACCTGGAGACTCAATTAGAGGTGTAGGGGATGATGAGGGGAAGGCGATGGAAGCGACGAAACGCCGAAAAAGTGCCCGGAAGTGCTCGTCGGAGCCTCACCGGAGTCTCGCCGGAAATCGCCTCCGGCGACAAAAATGTCGGCCAAATCTCCTCAAAATCTAGGGATAGGCCGATTTTGGTGGAGGAAGAATGGGTTTGTTGTTGGTTTGGTGAAAAGATGACAAAAAATGGCCGAAAAAATCAAAAAGAGGGGTTTTGGCCCGGTTTTCCGGCGAGTGTTTTGAAATTTTCTGACGACCCGGCCGTGCTGGCCGAATAAATAGGCCGTGTCTCGGCCACACGGCCAGACACGCACGGCCGTGTCGCGTGCACTTTTGCCCGTGTCGGCCGACACGGCCTGGCCGAAGAATTTCACTCGGCCGTGCCGAGTGCTCATTTGGCCGTGCCATATTCTGCGAGAGCAGACACGGCCAGAGCACTCCTCCACACGGCCGTGCCACAAAATGTTTTGCCCGTGTCGGCCGCACGGCCAGGCCAGGCCAATCCACACGGCCGTGCCAGCTGCACTTTTGGCCGTGTGAAAAATGTCGAGAGCTCACACGGCCTGGCCACTCCTTCACACGGCCGTGTGAGTTTAAGGCTTGGCCGTGTGAACTGCTGGAGCCCCAAAATCAACCTGTTTTCACTCCAAAACGACCTTCGACTCTGGAAAAACATCTCAAGACTCAAAAAAACACAAAAAATCAAAAAGAAAAAGGTAAGAAAATGCAAACCTAGGTGGGGTTGCCTCCCCACAAGCGCTTCTTTACCGTCTTTTAGCTGGACGCCAGTCGGTGGATGCTCAGTTAGGTGAAGGAGCAGGTGCCTTCAAGAGCGGATCCACCTCGCTCTTGAGGTACAACTTCAAATGGTGGCCATGCACACGCCGAATGTGGCCACCAGCATTTGCCAACTCAACTTGGCCATCCGGCAGGATGCAAGCGAGTGAATACTCGGATGGCCAAGGTGGGGGCGGGACCAGCTCAATAGTGTCTCCGGCCTTCTTTCGATCAGGCTTAGCTGCCTGCTGTTTCGGCCGCCACTCCGCCTTAATCTGTTCCTTCGATGATGGATTGGACGGGAGTGGCGGCGAAGGTATGGGAGGCGGATCCTGCAAAATAGGCAACACAGAAGGATACACGACAGACTCGTGCTCCTGGTGAGATACAGCATGCAGAGGTGACGAAGCAGGAAGAGTATTAGAAATTGAAAATGTTATTCGCTCCTCACCATCCCTCAGAACTAAGGTCCCATCATGCACATCTATGAGGGCCTTGGCGGTGGCCAGGAAAGGCCTTCCTAGTATCAATGGCACATTCACATCCTCATTTATATCCAAAATCACAAAATCAACAGGATAATTGAATTTTCCAACCTTAACCAGAAGGTCTTCCACTATGCCCCTAGGATGCACTACAGATCGATCAGCTAATTGAAGGCTCATCCTAGTAGCACGGGGTTCACCTAGGCCTAGTTTCTTAAACAGTTTATATGGCATAACATTTATACTAGCACCTAAATCCGCCAAGGACCTCTCTACATGCAAATTCTCAATAGAGCACGGGATAGTAAAACTACCTGGGTCCTTCTGTTTCTGCGGAAGCTTGTTCTGCAGAATGGCCGAGCACTCCTCGCTGAGCTCCACAGTGGCCAGCTCGCTCAGCTTCTGCTTCTTCGAGAGAAGATCCTTCAGGAACTTCGCATACTTAGGCATTTCAGATAGTGCCTCCAGGAAAGGCACTTGGACATTCAGCTTCCTAAGCATGGCCATGAATCTCTCGAACTCTGCCTCCAGCCTGTCTTTGTGCAACCGAGTAGGGAAGGGGAGTTTAGGGATATACTCCTTCACTACTGGTTGCGGTTTAGGGGCAGACACCTCAACCTCCTTCTCTACTTCTTCTTCAGCTGCTGGAGATGCCGAGGCAGGGGCCTCTCTCTCATGTGCCCGAGCAGGTGGATCAACAGTCATCTTGCCACTCCTGGTCATGATGGCATTGCAGTGTTCATTCGGGTTCTGAGGGTGAGGAATGGTCTGACCGGGCAAGGTTCCAGGAGCCCTTTGAGCCACTGCTTGAGCCACACTCCCCAGCTGGGTCTGGATATCCTGCAAGACAGCCTGTGTGTTCCTCTGGCCAGCTTCAAGAGCCAGGAATTTACCAGATGCCTTTTCCATGAACTGCTCGATGGTGTTAAATTTTTGAGCACTAGAACTGGCGAGAGAACCCACCAATTCCCGCAGTTCAGCCATCTGATCATTCTGCACTGGGGGGGCAGGGGCTGCACCTGGCTGCTGGAAAGGTCGCGGCTGTGATGGAGCAGCATGCCCTTGCATGGGCTGGTAAAGAGACTGCTGCTGCTGGAATTGCCCCTGTCTGGGCTGATATGGTGGCCTCTGGAAGCCCGGTGGTCCCTGGGGAACTGGTGGTCTGGAATTTGCCCCACCCCAGGAGAAGTTAGGATGCTGGCGCCACCCCTCATTGTAGGTGTTACTGTAGGGGTCGTTGCGCCTAACATTGTTGATGAAGTTCACCTGCTCCTGGGGTGTTGTCGATTCCTTCATCGCTTGGCAGTCTTCCACAATGTGATGGGTGCTCTCGCACCACTGGCAAAGCATCGCCTGCGGCTGTCCTGTACCTGCAATCAAACCAGAACGATCGATAGCTGACACCAGCTTCGATACCACCTGCACCAAATCAGATGACTGGGTGCCTACAGCATGCACACCCCATCCTGGTGCTCGTCTCGATCTCCTGGCAGTGCCCCAATCGTACCCGTTCTCCGCCTTCTCCTCAAAGAGTTGATTCAGCTGTGGCAGTGTTTTGGTCAGCATGTTCCCGCCACAGACCGAATCAATCAGCTGCTTGTCCTCCGGGAAGAGGGCATGATAGAAGGTTCCCACCTTGAAAGCATCGTTGAAACCATGATTGGGACACCTCAGGAAGAGACTGTTGTATCTCTCCCAAGCATCCGGAATGGTTTCATCTTCATCCTGGGTGAAGTGGGTAATCTGCTTCTGCAAGTCAGCTGTCTTGGATGGAGGATGGTAGCGGGTGAGGAACTTGTCCGCCAGGTTGGCGAACGTGGTGATGGAGCCTGGAGGTCGAGTGTCTAGCCACTCCTTGGCTTGCCCCTCCAGAGTGAATGGGAAGTACCTCAGCTGGATGGCATCTGCGGGTACCCCATTGATCTTGATTCCATCAATGAGCTCGTGGAATCGCCGGAGATGTGATCGGGAGCACTCCCCCTCTTTGCCACGGAACATCACCAAACCCCGCAGCATAGTGATTACTGAGGTGCTCACCTCAAAATTATTGGCTGGGACATGAGGGTGTTGAATGGGTGACCTCATGTCTGCAGCCCTGGCGGTCCAGTAATGTCCCATGGTCTGCTCCTCGGGATCGACCACAACATGGTCCTGTGGATTAGCCATCTCTTCTTCTTCTTCTTCTTCTAACTGCAGCTGCGATAGCGCCTCCTCCGCAGCCAGTCGCGCCTTTAGAGCCTGCTTGAAGTTTCTGCAGGTTCGTTCAAGCTCCTGGTCTAGTGGTAGTAGATCTCCCGACTGGCTACGGGTCATGCACTACCTGCACACAATCAGCAGAAACAACCCGTGAAGGCACACAGGTGGAAGAGATAAAATGCAGTAAATAAAAAGCTAGAGTGACAAATTCTCACGTTTCCCCAATAACCTAGAGGGGTCCCCGGCAACGGCGCCAAAAACTTGACACGCCAAAACACAACACCAATATGCGACCAAGTGTAATCACAGACCGGGAATGCAGTAACAAGCAAGTTATATTATCAACCCGTGCTCTAGATCTACTGCTTACTCAGTGATTCTCTGTTATCTAGCCAACTAAAGTAAGTGATTGTTGTTTAAACTAAAAGCAGAAATAAAGCAGGAATTTATTCGGTTTTCTTAAGCAGGAAAGAGTCACTCGGGAATGAATCCCCCTAGCTCCTTAGTTAGGTTCAATTGCAATTTACCCTGGGTTGATTTACTGTTGATTAGACTGCGGAAGATCCGGCAGTAGCTTGGAATCTCTTAAGCTGACCAAGCCCTCTCAGTCTAACTACCCGGCAGACGACTAGTCTTCACCAGGATAGAAAGCTAAAGCAGTAAGAACAGAAATTCACTACTGGAATTAGATTCCAGTACAAAGCAGTAAACTGGCTAACTCTCGTATAGCCAATCTCCTACTATCGAATGATGAGACTCTAGCAACCTAATCAGATTCTATCTATCTCAGATTGCAGCAGGAATCAGGAAAAGTTGATCAGACTTCAATTGACTCAATAAACATGCATCATTCGATTAAAATCAAATAGTAATATCATCCCAAGTCATTACAATCAATCCCCTAACACATAGAACTAGGGTTCTTCATCCCCAAGTGAGAGAGAGGTTCTACTCCATAGAGAGAGAAAAGAAAACAGTAATCGGAGTAGTCATACTCATAATGATGAGGAAAATCTGCTCCGGGATGATGATTTCCACTCCTAGGACGATCTCCAAGCTTGATTTGATGAAACCCAGCTCCAAGATGGCTTCTAGGGTGAGTTCTTCGTACTTTCTCTCTCTAGGGCTCTGTTTTTGCTCAAGAAGTCCGATTCTCCCTCTTGCAGCCCGGAATTGGGTTAAAACCAGGAAATCCCGACTCACACGGGCAGGGCCACACGGCCGTGTGGCATACCCAGTTGCCCGTGTGAGTCAAAACGCCGCGTTCCATTAAGTTCGATCTTCAGGCTTCTCACACGGCCAGAGTGGCACGGCCGTGTGAGCTTCCCATCTGCTCGTGTCTGCTCTCGGCGAAAGTCACACGGCCACCAATATGAGGTGCACGGCCGTGTGATGATCAGGGCAGGCCTTGTCTGCTCTCGCAGAATCTCACACGGCCACCAATATGAGGTGCACGGCCGTGTGTTGTCCAGGCATGCCCGTGTGGCTTCCTTAGCACCTCGCCACGCGTCCGATCTTCATCCAATCGACCACAAACTCGCTCCCAAGCCTCCATTCACGTACTAGGACCTGAAATATGACAAACAAGCACAACCTAGCGTGAAATCGGCCTAAAATACGAGAAATCATATCTCAAACGGGGTAAGAACAGGGGTAAAAACATGTGTAATTAACGGTCTATCAATCTTCAACCATGATTTGCTGATTAGGTTGTTGGATTTCTTGGGGAAGAAGACTCCTCCGATCATGCCGAGGATGTAGATACGTGCATAAATTTCTTTATCACGTTCCAAACTTTCCTCCGTGAGGGGAATGCCTCCGAACTCAGGGTTGTGCTTACGCCTGATCTCCGCTGTCAACCAAGTGATGGATACTTGGCCCTTGGACAATGGTGGATGACCATCCGCATCGTGATCTCCTTTCTCTGGTGGACACAACCCGGTGACCGTCCATATAAAATGTTGCCAACCACTCATATTGGCAACAACTTTAGGTGTTGGCGTAGAATCCACACAAACAACATCACCATCGATGGGGAGATCAGTTAAGATGGCGATGTCCTTAAGTGTGATGGTGCACTCGCCTTCACGAAAATTGAAGCAGTGTGTCTCCTTTCGCCATCTCTCTACCATCGCCGTGATGAGTTGGCGGTCGATCTTGATCCCATTGAAATGCCGAATCGAATCCAATCTTGCCCTTTTTAGAAAGGGCAAGATGACGCCGTTCCATTCAAGCACATTCGTTGTACCCCTATAGCGGACTATATGGTATGCATCCTAGAAAAAAAATTTAAATTTCATTATAAGTTGATGATTTATACATATATAAATATATTATAAGATACAATTTATATATAAATCAAGGTTGTTTTAGAGAAATATACATTATCTAATAAAGATTTATTTTAACATAACTAAAATAATTTTCTAAGATGCAATATTAATTAAATCAAGGTTGTTTTAGAGAAATATACATTATCTAATAAACATTTATTTTAACATAACTAAAATAATTTTCTAAGATGCAATATTAATTAAATCAAGGTTGTTTTAGAGAAATATACATTATCTAATTAAATATTAATTTTAACATAACTAAATAATATTATAAGATGCAATATTAATTAAATCAAGGTTCATTTAGAGAAATATACATTATATAATAAACATTAATATTAGCATAAATAAATAATATTAAAAGATGCAATATTAATTAAAGCAAGGTTGTTTTAGAGAAATATACATTATCTAATAAATATTAATATTAACATAACTAAAGTAATATTCGAAATTTAAGTATAAATATTTTTTGTACACAGACACATAAAATCAAATATATTATTTTGTTAATCGTATTAATTATTTTCAATAATTTAAAGCAATACAAGTACACTCGTAAGACTCTTAGGAGAGGTATACATCTCCTTAGAAACACAGTCTTTTTGACAGAAAAAGGGGGGATCCGAGGATCGCTTAGAACCCGATTTTCCCAGGTCATGGGGGGATCATGATGATCGCTTAAGTCCCCATTTCCTTAGACATGCATTTCTTTATAACAGAGTCTCAATAAGTGTTGTATTGTATTGATTTAAATTATTGAAAATAATCAATACGATTAACAATTAAGTAAATTATTGTACAACAAATAAATTACTTTAACAAAATACAAATTACAAGTGATGATAAATAATATGTACCTTGTGGTCGTTCCAAACGTCTCTTGAACGATGATTTGCTTGATCGTATAAAACTGTCGGATCAATCGGTCCTTGATCAACATAATATCGTTGATTGAAAATATCAACATTCGGCCCAACCTACGATAGCATAGCAATAACATAAATCATTAGTATATAAATTAAATAAATCATTATAACAACAACAACAATTGGGAAAAATGAGTACGTACCGTTTGATAATCATCATAAAAAGACCCTCTTCTTGAGCGAAATCGGCCATTCTCTCGGAATCCGGACAGAGGTTCGACGGTTTTTTAGTGAAAACCAAAGATAAAGTATTTTGGAGGCAGATCGGACTTAGCCGCAACCAACAAAAAAACTAATTCTAAGGTTGGGTGGGGAGGGGTTGGGTAGAGAGAAGTTAAAGGGAGAGAGGGGAGTGTGGTGGATGGTGTGCAGAAAAGAGAAGAGGGGGGGGGGGGGGGGGGGGGGGGGGTTATAGGGTTCAAACCGCGTGGGGGAGGGTCGGTGGAGTAATTTCTCGCCACCAAAAACCGCGCCTCCAGCACGCGGTTTTAGTTTCCCGACGGTCAAACCGCGCATCAGGCACGCGGTTTAAGTTTCCCTACGGTCAAACCGCGCATCGGGGGAGCGGTTTCATTTTCCCAACGGTCAAACCGCGCCTCGAGGAAGCGGTCTCTGTGGGCGACACGGATTGCTAACTTGGCACACGTTTTATTTGTCTAAACGCTCCTCCGATTGGCGGTTTGATGCACCGCCACGTGACAACACGGTTTGACAGCCATGCAAGGTCATTTCTCTGTAACCGCCGCCTGGAGACGCGGTTTTATATAAAACCGCTCATTAAATGAGCGGTTTTTAATAAATGATGGTATTTTTGGAAATTATTTGGTCTGGGTGGTATTTTTGTAATTATTTTTTAAACGGTGGTAGTTTTGGATTTTTTCCCTACATAATGAGATCAATTTTCAATATATTTCGAGAAATCTTTTTTTTTACCAACTACATACCATATGATAACTTGTTCGTTTTTAAGTCATTTTTTAAAACGTTTGCTAAGAAGTAACGAGTTCATCATGATCTATTGGATCTATAAATTTCTGGGTGAAAAAAATATTGGATAAAAAATTACCATACTTTACCAATATGGTATGTGGGGGTAACTTGTGGTAACATGTAGTAAACAATGATGAAAGTCGTAAATGATAGTTAGTATACTCCTACTATGATGTATTCAACCTTCTTATCATATTGGTATGTTCATACCATCATGGTACCCTTTCTTACCATATGGTATTAAATGGAAGCATACCATATGGTAACGACTCGTAAAAAATTATTCAATTTTTTTTGTACTAAAAATATATCAAAGTGGATATCATTTTAAAGACCACATTTAATCTGGTTTATCTGTACAAAAAATTAAATTTCGACTTAAAACGAGAGAGAAATCGTCCGTTAAAAATTAAAGGGGAATAGATATAAGACTTTCCAGGAGAGAGAGGATAATGATGTCATGCTGATATGGACATGTTACTCATGGTTACTGACCATATGTGAAAATAGTGAGATTAGTCTTTCTTTGGGTTCTCTGTTCGGAGCAGGGAGACGGGAAAGTAGTGAGATTAGTCTTTCTTTGGGTTTTGTTATTTTCTCGGGAAATATTCTTCTTAGTTAATCATATGTGAAAATTCAATTTTTTAAGTAGACATGGCAAAAAAAATGATAAGTCAATTGACACGTCAATAGTCGACATGCTAACTGTTAGTCCAGTCAACATCTGCATTTGGTCCGTTAAAATTTTGGACGGTAACTTGAAATTCCAATATTTGACTTTTTAAGTGGTAACTTGGCCACGGGGTCCGATGGATTCACTAGACTATTCTTCATGCATTTCTGGGATATAGTGGGATAGGATGTGATTTTGGTTGTCTCCCATTTCTTTTTGACGGGATCTATGCTTATGAATTTTAATCATACCTGTCTAACTTTGATCCTGAAGATGGATCAGGTTAAGTATATGAAGCAGATTCGTCCGATCAGTCTTTGCCAATTTGTGTATATAATTATTGCCAAAATCCTAGCGGAAAGATTGGCAAGATATCTCCCCTCCATTGTTTCGACTAGGCAAAATGGATTTATTCAAGGTAGGCAGATTGTGGATAATGTACTCATTAGCTTTAGGTAATGCATTACTTGCGCAATAAAAGGAAGGGTAAACAGAGATTCATGGCTTTAAAGGTTGACATCGAGAAGGCTTATGATAGGGTGGAATGACCATTTTTATTTTCATCGCTTGAGAAACTTGGGTTTTGTGCGCAATGGATTAAGTGGCTTGGGCTTGTATTACAGCGTCAACCTTTTCGGTAACGATGAACTGTAGACCTTCCGACTATTTTGGAGCAAGCAGAGGACTAAGACAAGGTGATCCAATATCCCCATTATTGATTGCCATCTGCACAGAGGGGCTCGCATCATTGTTAAAGCATGCTCTTGAGGTGAGGGCGTTGAAAGGAGTTCGGATCAGTCCACGATGTCCAGTTGTTTCGCATCTTTTTTTTCGCGGATGATTCCTACTTGTTCCTTCGTGCCTCATCACAAGAATGTGGAGTGCTCTTGGGGATCTTATAGAAGTACGAATTTTTAAGTGGCCAGAAAGTTAATTTGGCAAAGTCGGCGGTTTGTTTTAGCAGAAATGTGGAACCGCAGGAGGTGGATTGCTGGAGTGAGATACTCGGTGTGGGAGCGGTTGGAGTGACGGATAAGTATTTGGGATTACCTTCCTTGTTTTGGAGATCTAAGGTAGATACATTTCGATTTACTGAGGAAAGGGTGATTCAACGACTGCAGGGGTGGAAACAACGATGTCTCTCGTGGGCAGGCAAAGAGGTCATGTTGAAAGCAGTGGCCAATGCTCTTCCAATCCATGGTATGTCCTGTTTCTGGCTTCCTTCCACACTTTGTCGCTATTTGGATATGCATTTGGCGCATTTTTGGTGGGGTGCTAAGCAAGGTGAGAGACGGATCCACTAGGTAGCTTGGAAGGCCCTTTGCACGAGTAAGTCGGAAGGTGGAATGGGATTCCGTAGATTTGAGGAGTTTAATCAAGCCTTGTTAGACAAAATTTGCGTGGCGGCTCCTTAAGGAACCTAATTCGCTCCTAGCCCGTATTTATAAGAGGAAGTATTTTCCAAAATTTTCCTTTATTCAAGCTGGTCTGGGTACCTACCTTTGTGGGGTTGGCGCGGAATTCTTCATGGTCGTGACTTGCTCCAGCAGGGGCTCCGTTGGCAGGTTGGAAATGGTGAGAGTATCTCTCTAGCCACATCGGATTGGGTTCCGACGTTGCACCCAAATACTCCTGGTCTTCAGTCGGAGGTAGGAAGGGTCCAAGGAACGGCTGCTTCTCTAATCTCACCTGACATATTTCACGCTAGGCTGTGCGTTTATGTCATATTTCAGGGCTTAGCGTTGGCATTGAGGCGAAGAAACGAGTTTCGGGTCGAAAGGAGCACGTTTGGGGTGAAGTGTGCTGGAGGAGCAAAATACCCGGCCATGAGCAGAAGTACCCGATCGGGTATTATTTGGAGCAGACCGGGGATTTGACGGTTCGGGCGTCTCTAAGAACCAGAAGGGGGCCCATTCGTGATGCTAAAATCCCCGGTCAGGGATTCTTGGCCTTGGCCGGGGATTTTCCCCTGTCCCCAGACGTTGCGTTTTGAATTATCCGGCCTCTACCCAAAATACCCGACTGGGTATTCAGGCTGGGGATCGCGACAGACAGGTTCTTAAGGGAAAAGAAGGGGAAAAGACAAGGTTTGGGAGTTTTAGAGAGAAAAAGCTATACCTAGAGAGAGAAAGTGACGAACCTGACTCTACAAGTGTCCTTGATCGATCTCCATCACCATTGGAGAGCGGCTTGAGCTTGGAGAAGATCTGATTGAGTGCCAGAAGCAGATTCCCATCCTTCACAGTATGGTTTCCGCATCTGAGCTAGATTTTCCATCTCTCTCTATGGAGTAACGTTCTTATTCACCTGGGTATGAAGAACCCTAGATTTGTATGTTAGGTCTGATTGTATGAACCCAAGTACAGATTCAGTGGTATGATTATGTTCAATTGAGGTTTGA